ATCTTCAAATATACCTACGTGTTTGGAAGCACATTCAAAACATTTTGAAGTGTCAGCTATTTGTTATTTAGAAGTTGAACGATACAGGTAGTCATTATCCTTGTTTTAGGTTAAACATAACAGAATATTTCATCCAAATTATAATGAGATATAGAAATTTCGTTCGAAATGGAACAGAAATATCAATCTTTCGACGAAACTGCACTAAGTGTCCAATTATTTATGCACGATAGCGTGTATAAGTACAGCTATAAATTACACGAATTTCCGGGTTAAATTTCCATCGATCAATCTCCACTCGTGTATTTGACATTTCTTGTATAAATTTAACGTTGCTTTACAACGTTGTTTGAAACTACGCCGGATCCGAATGATTCGACTTTAATTAACGTCAATTAAGGTGCGTAAATAATTCCCGATATCTTGGCTGCGCAGCGTGCAATTACCATTTTGACAGGTGTACCAATCATCTTGTATCGGTCATCCGACACAGAAAGTCATTCGTTACAATTTGTTACACGTTCTCATTACAATTTCCATGCATTCGCAATACAACTACAATACAATCCCGAGACTTACGATGGACACTATGAACTGTCCACTTCTGCAAACACCAACGATCATTCTCGTTATTTCGAAAGAAATATCTGCCAATCTGCATTGCAGCTTTCTCTCTCTTTTTCGTTATTCCTCAAACACATTTTTTTTCTTTTTTTTTTTGGTCCATGAAGATGCTGATGATGATGAATATTTCAAATGGACTTCAGGCCCTAATAAATATTATCCAGCAGTCTATTGTTACGTACCCATGATTTGTGGCAATTAACGCACGATTTGCTTGCTCGTCGAGAGAAAGAGAGAGAGAGAGAGAGAGTTTCTGTTCGTTTGGCTTTCAACAGCCGCCGATCGATCGCGCTAATTTATACCGCGCCACGATCGGCTAATTGTTTTTTCAGGCCACCCTTTCGCCGTGCACTTCGTCCACGTAAGATCGTACGTCTTGTTGCGTGCGAACGACTCGTTCATAGATCTTCGCAGCTTGCTGCCGATCGAGTACGATTCACCGTCGGCGTTTCGAAACTTTTCGTTCCGGGATTAGGGTTAAATAATAGGTAACGCGGTGACATAATACTTCGAGAGTTAGTAATAATTGGCTCGATTATTCAATTATTCTGTGAAATAATGTAACGTATGTAGATATGTAATTATAGCGAAGTGATGGTTGAAAATTTACAAAAAAATGTCTATAGTTTCTCATTAAGAAATTATTTTATATCTTTCTTTTATAATAGAGTAATAATGAAGGCTGCTTCGTTTCGAAATTTTTCACTTCGAGACGGGATTAAATAACAGATTTCTTTTTCTTAACGTGTTCTTGTGATAATAGTTCGAAAGTTAATAATTGATACATTGAACTATTCACGTGATTACAGCGAAGATTTTTGAGAATTTAAAAAAAAATAACGTTGATTTACCTTTTTTTTTATTCAAACGTTATTTCACATCCTTAATAACAAATTGCTTCGATCAATTGTAATTTATACACAAGACTAATCCTTCTATTTTTTTAATTTTAATTATTTGTCAATTTGTTTCACGTTAGGCAGTAAAAATACTTTCCGCCTACCTGCACTTCATGGAACTTCTCATTTCTATTGAAAGAACAAGAATTATGCATCGAACGGATAAATATATATGTATGTTGTGGTTATATGATACGTTCGAATTTTTGTAAATTGGACGAGCAAAGAGGCGTTCCAGATTTTTCATTAACGCTCGGTGAATGAGAACGAGGATTAAAGTGTACTGCCAGCGTGTGATTAGTTGGGAAGACGATCGTACAAACAGAAAATTGCTTTGCGCTTGTGAACGTTCTTCAGGACTTTGATAAGGAAGTTTAATTATAATATTCGTATAAAGACACACGTGATTCGATGATCGTAATCTGTGCTCTTATACGATGATAATAATTATCGAGCGAACTGTATCAGTTGCAGTTGGTTGTAACGTCATCGATCGATGTTATTATAATTGACAGAGTTGGTTATAAATTTTTGCTTAAAAATGCTGCGAGGACTAGACTGACTCAAATATATTATTCTCGTTGAAAATTGCAAGCTAATTATAACCGTACCAAATAAATGAGGTTTCAATCAATGAATCACAAATAAAATAGTATAGAAATTTATAATTGGCCAGTTTAAAATTCAAATAGAGAGTGAAGTTATTTGAGGTTAGGATTATCATTATTATTATTACTCATAATATCCGCCGGATGCACGTTAGATTTTAACCAGCGCTTAGCATTATTTTCATTATATTTTAGTGAGGCATCGGATTGTATATGAAACAGCTGATTCTCGCAATCACGTCGCAGAGTCATTTGAAATTTTAAGACTGAAATGATAATTATTATTAATATACGATAATGATAATAACAATATTCGACTATCGATTTTTGTGCAAAATATATTTGTAAATATAAGCTCGGTCGAACATTGTTCTACTTACTCAAATTTCATAAAAATTAGTAACTTTGGTTATTTTATGCATTTCTTCATAATTTTTGCACTTTAAAATTCTCATAAATTTCGTAACACGTTGCAACTTTCGCCTCTCTTCTCTGACCTCCGTTTCTGCCTCACATAAATCTCGCGATTAAAGATACACCGTTTGTTTCGTATCGCGCGATGTAGAAACGTAAATTCACGTGGAAAAGTTGCCGAATCCCGCGGATCGCATGACGATCAATGATTATTCAAATCCGGGCGTCCCGTCAGCATCGGTGCACGGCGATATCCGTTTCCCTCGATTTCGACTGCGAGGGACCAAAATGGGCCCCGTTGCCCCGCGGCGAGTTTCGTACACGGTAAAATATGCTCGATCGGCATCCAATCCAATTAATCACCGTTAATTACGGGCACGGGGGCAGTGGCGTGGCGAACGAGGACGATTAATGAGTAATTGATTTCGATCACGCTACTCGCCGACCGAGAAAGAACGCGCGCCGCGAAACCAAAAAGCCGGACCCGGATCGTAAATTTTCGTTTTCCGCTCCCGGGTGACACGTAACTTTCCCCTTGTGATAACCCTTGTGATAACGTCTGCGAAACTGTCTCGATTCCCAGCATCCACAGCAGCGTCTCGATAATTTCGTCGATGATCTGTCAACCGGTCTCTAATTAGATTATTGAAGGTCGAACGCTGTTGAATTGAAGATCTCGATGAAAAACAATATATTTCGGAAGTTGTAGTAAAGCGAAATCGAGAGAATAATCGCGGTAATATAATACGAGCAAATACGTTTTACATTTTTTGAGAAATGTACCTAGCAAATTGTTTCCATTGTATTTGAACTTGCTCGGTTTTATCGGAATGTTAGAAAATAAAAGTACAGAAATGAGACATTTGACTCGTAATCTTTGCTATTAATGACTCCTTTTTTCGATATTTGATTGTTTAGTAATTCTTGATTTTCCAAGTATAAATGACTCTCAGTTTGTTTATCAGTTCATCATTTCGATCAGTTGATATCAACATACCTACATAAAAATATATGGAACTTCGCCGAGTACAATCTCATCCGAAAAGTGTTCGGATATCAGCGGACGATATTCACTCGCATTGATTCTGGCTCGTTCGTCGAGCAAAACGCTGGAAACCACAGCAGAGGAATTAATCGTTAATAGAACGACAGATTCGATTCGACAAATGCTGAAAGGCTTGAAACCGACGTGGAAACGCGACGAATGATAATAGTTGCAATTACACGTATTCTCCAATATATGCAATCGGCAGAAAACACTGGACACGTGTGCGTACAGGCACGTTCGAACGTTTCGCGACTCGTAAAGACAAACTTATAAACTATTACAGCTTTATCGCCGCATTCGTCAAGGAAACAAAGGATTTGTTCTCCGAGCCGGTTTTATTCTCCCGCTCCCCCCTACCGTTCTCCTCAAATCCCGTTTCGCGATAATGATCGCTAGGCATTATTGCCCATTAACGATCGTTGTCGTTGCGCGCGGCATCATTCAGCTACTAATCTCCGGTCAACCAACTCCACGAAGGTTCGCGCTTGTTCTACCTGGCTCGATTAACGGCCACCTTGCTCACCTGACTCGCCAATAATTCAAATTCGAAAGAGGTCGAAGGCCCACGCATATGCGTATATGCGGCTCTCGTGTTGCGTGCCGGTGCCGAAAGTATTAATTTCTTGGTTTTCTTTCTCTTCTTCTTTCTTTTCCTCTTCCTTTCCTCTCTCTCTCTCTCTCTCTTTTTCACTTGATCGCTGATGTTCGTTCGTCGCTATTCAGCCGGATTCGGCCGGCCGCTTCTTCGACTCTGACGCCGGTGCGAAGCGTCGAAAATCCACGTCGAAATCGTTTCCAACTAGATTTTACGCTGTTCTAGTTCCACATCGTTGTACGTTGCGTCGTGGTTGTGACTTTTTACGATGATCAAGCACTTGACAGAAATGAAAGAAAGTATTTGCGAAATACTAAATCCTTGTCATTAAACTACGAATCATCTACGTAATCTCTAATTTTTTTCAACACAATGAGAAATGAAACGTGAGCATCCATGTGTCCATTCGATATCTTTTATATATTTTGCGTTTAGTATCCTCTACATTTTTGCCATAAATGATTTCTCCACGATCTACTCATCGTCTGTTAATGTCCTCAAGACTTCGAGATTAAAGATTAATCGAGGCTTTCAACGGTTTAGAAACACCGAGTCACATTTGTATCCGCGGTTCACTGAAACAACGCGTTACTTCTCGCGGTCGAATTTTCACACTTTGTGAACGAACGTTGGATATCCGCGATTGGTGCCTTCAATTAATCGAGATCGTTATCTCCGGCATCGATCGTTCTCGGACTTCCTGCGCGAGTGAATTCCCCCGCCAGCGAACCAGACCGATTTCACAAAGGGATCGCAGACAGCGACGTGGACGACTCGGGCGAGCACAGCACGGTGGACAAGCGGTTAATTAATTAACGCGGAGATTCACGGGCCATGAGACGTTGAATCGAAACCGGGATCCGTCGATCAACGATCGATTCATCGATCGATAAGGGAACGTCGCAGACGGCGCGGAAACCGCTGAGTTGTGATTGCATTGTTTGCAGCTGAATAGAGCCGTCTGTACGCTGTGCGGATCCATTGTGGCTGCTCTCGGAGAAACCTGCTGGTTCCTTCTTCTCCCTTCTCCACCCTCTGCCCTCCTCGTCGCGTTCCACTTCACGTTGCCTCCTCTTCGCGTTCTCTGTCGGTTTGTACTTTATAATATATACAGAACCGGTAACCAGCGACGATTCCGCGTGGATGGTTACCGGTTTTCCCGCGCACCGGAAGACCAGTCGATACGTCTTTCCTTCTCCGTTCGCACCGCGCTGATCGCGTTCGCCGATTAACCCTCGGAAGTCGGATGATTGCAGTCGATGCCCGAGTCTATTTCATCCATAGTAATATCCAGCAATTATCCTGCGACAATTACATTCGTTACAATATTTATTTCTTACTCTAGCGTATTTTTATCATGTTTTTCAGTATTTTTGAGCTATGCATTTTTTCAGTAACGCAAACAGAAATTTAATTGCGAGTAACTTGAATTAATAAGTTTACATAATATTTCTATAATAAAATCTATAGATAAAAATATGAAATTCAATGTTTTTTATAGAATTAATGAAAACTGTATGATATTTATTATTGGTAATGGTTCGATTCTTTGCGATTCTCTATTGTTAGAAACATCGCGTTTCATCGTAAACGCACAACTTGGAGCGTGCAACGATTAAAAATCAGGTTGAGTTACGACGCGTACACGATCTTCAACGATCGGTATGACGCTCCCGGCCTTTTAGTTTGCGCTTATCGCCCCGCGATATGATATACGATCATACGCGGAGCATTCAGCACCGAACGAACGAGGCAGAAGAAAAACGAGTCAACAGCATTCCGACGGACGTTAAACGAAGCACAGTTTAATACATCATAAACAAACCGGCCTTGTATTGCTTTTGCCTATATCATCGGTGCCTGCTATGAATCTAATTAAGCGTCTAATTAAGCGTCTATGTTCACGCGACTCGTTATCCCGAGGACGTGGAGCGGTACGCTCCATCGATCAAACTTATTGTATCTTTCGGCGCGTGTATACAATTATACTTCCGTTCAGTTGCTAGTCCTTAGCTTGATTATTAACTTTGCCAAGTTGTTTCTTCTCGTCTCTTCTTCTTTGATTGTTTATCTTCGCTTTGAAATACCTTTCATCTCTTTATCTTCGTGTATCATCGCGAGAATACATATGATCTAGAGGTCAAAGTTTTGCGAGAAGATAGCAGGATCAAATCCAATGTTAATAATTAATTAACTATAGAGTTAGACGATGCAATGTAGAAAGGACACAGAAATAAAATAACGACATGGGGACGAAAACGTTCATGAAAACGTAGGGAGAACAAGAATACTTCCTTGTTATTATAAATAATTTATAAGGAAATTATTACAAATTAACTTCATACCTATCTGTTACGCGCGTCTATCTAGAGACAAACTAACTGTACCAAATTACTGTCCCTTTCGGAAAAAAACAGAAAAAAATGCATTTGAGACATGTTTTAAACGAGAAAGTAATTGCATTCATAGATATTAAAACGAGACATCTCGTATATAATGAGTAGCCGTTAGTCGGTTAAAGCTTCTTGAATCCGCCATTGTATAAGAAAGACACGAAAAGCAAAACCAAAGGAAATATTGCTACCAGCAGCGCAGAGTTCTTGTAACCTTTATCGAAAGCAACGGTATTCACGTCGGAAAGGTGCGTGGAAGACGCGCGAGGCCACAAATTGCGACATGCCCACCCATTTCCATGATGCAGGAAAACAGATCGCGAGCGGAGAAACCGCGACAAACGTGACAGCGAGAGATATTTGTGTTTCTGCTGGCTGCAGCTGGCACCACCCCCGGATGTCGTGCGTGCGTGCGCGCGCGCGCTCGCCGGAAACCCTATCGATAATTATTTATCTGCAGGCCAATTAACTCGGTTTTAACGGTGCCCGAGATAAAATTACGCGGCGATCGGCAGAGAGCGACAATCGACCGGAAGGCGAGACGCTACACCTGCGACGCGCCACGAACGCCACACCGATGGCGTTTGCTTCTTCTTCTTTTTTTTTTTTTTTTCTTTTCGGTTCTAGGTGTAGGCGTGCTGGTGCCGCCGCGCACCGGTCTTCCCTCCGCGTCTTTTCTTTCACATTTGCATCGTCATTTACCGACCGGAGTCAGATGTCGATCGCGATAATACCGGCCGATTTTTCAGCGGCCTCGCGCCACGAATTTTAATTACACGCGCGAGAAATTGCTTGATCGCGATTAATTACCGGTTTCGCGCTTGGTTCCGGTTTCCATCGTGGATTCGTGGCGATTCTGGTTCGGTGAAATCCATTAAATGTGTGCGACGAGAAATCGCGAAACGATTTCTATTGATGCAAATAGAGGTGAACTGGCGCGTGTATGTATGAAATGATCGCATGTCAATTCATTGAGAAGTTTATCGGTAGTTTATCGTAATCACAAATAAATGAAATGAACCAAAATTGCAACTTGCGTTGAATTTTGTATCTATATAGGTGAATCTATTTGTTTTAACTGACACATTGAATTGTTTCAAATTACCCAAAACGCAACAATAGTTAAAGTACTTTATCATCGTGCCAAATCTTCCGGATCTAGTCCTGGTTAAATCAAGAACGTTTACATCGTCTTACACAATCTCCATTACGGTGAAAAAAAGCCGCTTCTGCCGAGAAAAAGGTTCCCTTCTGCCGTTGAGATCTGCCGATCTCAACAGATAGTTAATGAGACTTCGAAGCTTTATCGCGATCAATTCATTGCACACCGTTTCGCAGTTTTTCCGTGTCGAGCTCTGCATAGTGCGCGTGACATCGACAATGGCAGCAATAAGGCTCTCGATGACCAGTCGAAGAGAAACGGAACCTTGGTTGTTCACGCGTCCTTCGCGGACATCTGTTTGCATCTCGATAGAAGAGACGCGAGCGCGTCCAAGCGACGCCATTTTTACAAACGTTCGATCGTATCTTAACGACTTACTAATTCACCATAAATCCTGCGGCCGATGTTATCTATCGCTGCACGATGCGCGCGAGTCGTTAGTAGGAAACTCTGATTCGACAAATCGATCACGAAGAAGCGACCGAAGCCATCGATATTGCTCCTGGTCGAAATTAATGGCTGGTCGCTGCTGCTGCGATCTAGCAAACCGGAACTAAAATCAACCAAATCAAGAAGATGCGACGCGTTCCTTTCTGAATATTATCCGTTCAAACAGGATCCGGTGATAATTATTCATCTTTGCCCTCGCTTCGTTTGCTCCATTCAAGATTCATTTAGCTCGATTGAGGGAAGCCTATGTAAATTAGCGAAACGAAGGATTATCGAATTTGCCGATTTTTCTCTGTATAGTATTTACAACATAGTCTGGTTCGTATTTCACTCAAAGTTGCAAGCTGAACTCAAAGTAAATTGCTCAGACCGACTAGGGCTCTTTCATTTATAAATAGATAGCAGAGGTTAAATTTTAAATTTTTGTAAACGCAATTGAAAAAGTGGAATTTGAATATTGTTGTAGGGAATGTCACAACATTATTTAATCTCACATTCGATATTTTATATATCTCTGTACGCTTTGTGCATTCTGTAGATTTTTGAAGAATAGTCAAACAATATGGAATTGAGTTGTTACAAGGGATTAGAACATCTAAAGTAAAAGATTCTTATCGAGATGTATTATCTTGATCATTCATGAATTATTTAACACTAATTTTTTTTCAAACTGCTGTCATTTCTGTAATGATTCTTGAAAATCTGCATGCTACATTTTTGATAATATCATTATATAATATTATTACAATGTCATTATTATTATCATATACCTTATAAATCAATTTCACCAAGTACAAAATATGTTTACTTCCTAAATTTCGCACCTAAAGATATTTTATCGTTCTTCCTTCCATCAACGCAACAGAAGACTCTGAAGATCTAATCAAACTTGGAATCGATCGCCCACGTCTGCGTGGTGGCAGCGTTTCCAGCGCGGAATTAACGATTTCCGGAAATCGTAAGAAACGATGAAATTACGCTCGAGATTCTGCCCGCGCGTCAGACACGAGATTCCATCCACGCCTCGGTCCGAAGAATTTCTACACGGGTAGAACAACACAGTCCACGGTTGCGGCGGAGTTCCATCCGCGTGGTGTAACGCGCGCGCGAAGATTTAGCGCGTGTTTCAGTCGGTTTTTCGCCGGGACGCACGTTCATTACGTCGTGCGTCAGTCTCTCCGCGACGAGAGAGAGAGAGAGAGAGAGAGAGAGAGTATGTGTGTGCATCCAAGCAGTACAACCGCTTAACTGTTTTGTCCCGGGCTGATGGATAGCGCGTTCGCACGTTATTACCGGACACTTGGCCAGTTTTACGAGTCCAGATTGGTACACGGTTCTCCAGCGCCGGGCAGAGGCTACCGCGTTAATAGTGTGTTTACCGATAATGGTCTCCGGGGCTAGTCACCAGGGAAATGTCGGCCGTGTAACAGCTCGACGTTATGATTATTTCCCACGTGCACTTTATCTTACCGCCGGCATTATAAAGAGATGAGCAAAGCTCGCGGGCCGAGTGTCGGGATTTGTAATGAGCCTTGGCTATTCATTTACGCGGACGCATCCGCGCCACCGACTCGAATAAATCGAGTGCGAGTCCTTTGCTTCGGAAGTTATATCCCACTGTGGAATTAACCGCGTGTGGAACGAGCTCCCTTCCACTCCCTCTGGTCATTCCTCTTCCACGTAATTTGAACGATCACGCTTTTTCTAACTAAATTACGGATGTTCCTACAGTTTTCAGAGATTTAAGGAAACAGAGAATTTATAAAGTTCTGCGGATTTTTTTTTCGTAGGCAATTACTAAATGAAAAGTGCCAATGTTCTTGTAACATTCAACTTTATATTTGAATTTTTTTTTTTTTTTTTTTTTTAGTTTTAATAAAAACGTTACAAAATTCTGAGTCTGACTTTCGTTGCTAATGTATCAATTCAACTGCGAAGCGCAGAGAAATAAAATACGGCAATCGATAAAATACGATTTTTTAATAATGAAAATAATTCATCGAAGTTGATCTCTTTTTAACTCACGATTCTTTTGCCCTCGCGCTTGCTGACAAAAGTGATTTACAATAAATGGATCCCTATCAGCGTTGTACATAGTTCAAAAGGTTGAAAATGATAGAAATAGGCAGGGTACACGAGAGGTTTAGAAAATCCTACGTTACGAAATAAAACAAGAACGACGGTAATCGCGATCGCATCTGCGCAACAATTAAGCGCGGTCACCTTTCGTGGTGGCGTCGTTGTTGCGAGATTCTTCGCTGGTTTCCATGCTGTTGC